TATTTTCTACCATGCCATAAACAGCTTTTCCTAAGCCTCACAGTGGTGGCAACTAAGAAATGTAGTAACAAAGAAGTCACATCTAACTCCATACTTCCCAAAGGTTTGTCTTCAAGATTGGCTAACAATACCTCCTAACAGGTTAAGAGTCATAGGTTCAGCTGACATAGCCTCCTTTACAATCTAGGTAGACTTAGATTTGCTCAAATAGAACCACAATGATAATCATTCAAATCCCTACAAACAAGAATATAAACCTCAAATTATCCATCCAAGAAAAGCAGCTAAAATCATTGTAGGTAAGACTATAAAAGATTCCCCCATAGCTATGATGGGCTCACTACCGTTCTCTGAATTTCTGTGAAATACTGTAATTTGATGCCATATGTACTCTGTTCAAGAATCCTTTTTTTATTATCATTATTATATTACCAGTGACATTATTTCTTCATTGTTGGTTCAGCACCTATAAATTGTTTTCTTTGCAGTATATTGATCAATATTCAATTGAATGTTTTTAGTAATTTGTTTTGTGCCCCTAGCTGTACTGTAATAATTTTGATGAGGAGAGGAGGCTAGAACTAGATGAATCTGTGTTCCTTACAATGTTAGCAGGTGAGCAGGCAGGGCTGGGGGGAGGTGGGACAACAGAGGCTGCCTCTGGAGAGGACTGTTGGAGGTGGAACCTACTTACTCTTTCTGAGGGACCAAGGCAGTCACAGATGTGCTGACAGGTCTACATGAGGTAAATGAGCATGGCCACCAGAATCTGACCAGGATTCAAGGATTTAAACATCAGGTAGGGCATCAGTCCTTGTTCTAAGACTCTGTTCATAGGTGGTTGGTCTCCAGCCTGTGGGCTAGAGTATGAGACCAGGCAGGGTAATGCTTCAGCCTTCAGGGAAGACGGCTGATAGAGAATAGTCAGGTTTCAAAGCTCCAGCCACTTCTTGGGAAAATGATCCTAGAAAATGACTCAGACATTGGCTGGAAACCAGAAAGGTTAGGGGTGTATAAACCAGGTGGGCAGAGGGGACAGAGACCCGAGAAAAGGAAAAACGTATTTCCAGTGATAATTCCTCAGTGGAATAGATCTGTGTCTCACTCAATTCTGCAACTGTGACTAAGCCACCATGAGTAGGAGTCTTTTAGATCTCAGAGGATGGCTTGGAATATCTCTTTTTCATCTCTCTGAGGTTGCTTAGGATCAGGGCAGGCCTGGACAGTAGATGGGGTCACGAATGGATCCAACAATGGGAAGACAGGAGAGGCAAAAGCTGGAGAATTCAGGCAGAGGCTGGCATGTGGGGAAGGTTATCAGTATAAACTAGTTAAAAAAAATGTTGCTGATTCTGACTTATGGTGACCCCATGTGTATCAGAGTAGAACTGTCTCCACAGGATTTCTAATGGCTGGTTTTTTGGCCTTTCTTCTGAAGCACCTCTGGGTAGACTTGAACCTCCAACCTTTCGGTTAGAAGATGAGCATGTTAACCATTTGCACCACCCATGGACTCCATCTACTAGGTAAAGACTCATCACATTAAGACTCTAGAAGCAAACTACCTGGATTTGAATCCTGGCTCTATCATTTACTCACTGATTTTGGGCAAGTTACGTAGCCTCTCTGTGTCTCAGTTTCCTTACCTGTAAAACGAGGATAAAAATAGTACTACTTTATAGGGTAATTTGTGCTATTATAGGTAATAGCTATTATAAATAAATCAGGAAATGAATAGTAATAAAAATAAACCCATTATAGAATTATGGCAGTTATAGATAGATACCCAAAAACCAAATCCATTGCCGTCAATTCCAACTCACAGCGACCTTATAGGACAGAGTAGAACTGCCCCATAGCGTTTCCAGCGAGTGCTTGGTGGATTCAAACTGCTGACCTTTTGGTTAGCAGCCGTAGCTCTTAACCACTATGCCACCAGGGTTTCCAGATAGATAGATTAGATAGATAGATAGATAAGACAGATAAGATAGATGATAGATAGATAAGATAGATAGAAACATAAGTTAGATAGACAGATGATAGATGAGACAGATAGATAAGATAGATAGATATAGATATGTATCTCCACACAATACATGACATGTGCACACATATAAACACACACACATCAGTAAAGGAATCATCAAATGAAAGAAATTTGGGAAATCTTACTAATTTGTCCTAGTGAGCTGTGCTACATTCTCACCAGGTCAGACTTTGTCCAACATGTTGCTTGCCGAACCACGGGAATACGTAGATGAAGAAAACAGGAAGGCTGTGGAGGAATTCATGCCTCACTGAAAAGCTACATTAAGTCCAGCAGAATCTTTGATTACATCAGCTGAGGAAAGCATCCCTGGCTGTGACCACAGACCTCGCTGAACTGCAGTGGGTGCACAAGGCCAGACTCACCTGAGCTTACACCCACCTCTTTCCACCACTTCTACCGTTTGTGGAGAAAGACTTTCATTGTCGAAATACCCATTTATTTTGGCTGCCAAGTTTTGAAATTACAGTATAACATGCATTTATAGTTCCTCTTTGCCTAATTTGTTACTGACCTTGGGCATTTGTGAAATATGGGGATGAGAGTATCCTGTTAACAGTAAAGGAACAGAATATGAATAATCAAGTTCTATTTTTAAGTATCATCCTCTCATTCCGAAGGGATAGATATTCTCATGATGGCGCATTTTCTCTCAACTCATACTTCACTCCATTCCTGTCCGCAGCTAGAATCAGAAAAAAGACGAATGCAATTATTATACTCTGATAATATAACATGGAAAGAGAGAAGAGAGAAAGTAGTTTTATTTTCTAAAACTTTTCCAGAGGTGTAGCTTAGGAATCATTTTAGTAACACTGGACAGACCAGGGCTTGATTCCTTCTCTGCCAATTGTTAAGTGTGTAACTCAGCCAAGGATTTCAACTTGAGCTTCAACTTCCTCTTATATGGAGTGGCAGTATTAGTTACAGCAACCTCACAGGTACTTAAGTACTTAACACAGTACTTGGTATAAAATAATTGCTTAAAATTTTCTAGCTACTATCATTTTATTCAAAATTTAGCCTCCTAATATGCTCTTCTACGAAACCAACAATTGATTTTTGTTCTTGCGTTCAAGGAAACCCAACGATTCCACAGTTCGTGTATAATAGCGACAATATTTATTTCTTCTTGAACTCCAATGCATCTTTTCTTGACTCTAGACTTTACTACTAGCTGACTGGCATCTTTAAATAAAAGAGAATTTGATATTCCGTTCATCACTTATGTAAAGCTAAGGAATCAGTAGCCTACACAGCTGAATGGGAACCATAGAAAAGGCCACCTCAGCAAATGTGTTGACCAAGAGGCACCTACATATTAAAGCTGTTCTCAAGTAGCAGTTTCCATACTACCTAAGTAGCAAAAGACAAAATTTCCCATTTAGTCCCCCAAAGCAAAGCAGAAAAACATCAAGCAGTTAAGAACTCAAAGTTTTGGTAAGGGAAGATGGTGATATTTTCTAATGATCAGGGATCACATTTTTAAAGTTGGTCTCAGGCTTGTTTTCTTTATACAGTTACCTATAGGTCATTCTTAGGCTCTAATTCAATTTTCCGTTAACATTCAATGTAAAAAGTTTAATAGTTGTTTGGCTTACATGACTAATCATTCAAATTACTAAAACCTAAGATGTTTTGAAGTGAAAATTACATAATACAAGAGAAACACTTTCTTCACAAAGAATTTAGGAGTAGGATTCCCACAAAATTTCAGAACGTAAAGTCAATATGATCATAAACGAGAAGGAAGGAATTCTGGTCATTAGTTATTTCTTCATTTGTTTTAGAAGTATCTTTTGAACAACTGCTAAGTACTCAACACCATTCTACACGCACGGGGGACACAGACTCACGTTTAAGGCACTTCCTGCCTTCAAGACGCTTACCATCTAGCAAAGACAGGCCACTGGAAGATCAATGGTTGTATCACAGGGTAGAAAATGGTTCATTGGAGGGCAGACTCAAGATGCTGGGGGACACAATGGAGGGAAGTCATGGGAACAAAAAAAAAAAGTAACGCTGAAGAGCGAGACAGATTCCTCAGAGAAAGGAAAAACTACTTTAATCAAGAAAACGTCTGCCCTTCTGAATTCAAACACATTTAATACTTTGTGTAGCACATTGAAGATACGTCCTATTCTTTAAAATATCTTTTCTCCTAGTGATTCTGAGACCCCATCATGAACACAGCATACATGGTATTAAGTATAATAACATGGCACAACTACTCAGGACTCTATACGGGGTTCTACTTATCAAACGTCACAAGGCACACTCCGTTTATACAGGTTGATGTGGGCTACGTGAAGTGCTCTCAGTGTTTAGATGTGTATCCCTGCTAGCCAGAGTAAACATTCTTTTTAACATTTTGTACCTTGGTGTCATCTTCTTTGAAAGATGGACGTTGAAAGTTAAAAACGAGTTACTATATAGGCACTGATGTATGGAAAATACATTCAGTATTTCCATGTATTGTAAGCAGGAAATGCTTTTTATGCTAGAAAAGTTTGACAAACTGAACAGTCTGTAAAGAATGGAACATCTCTTGCCCATCAATTCAAATGTGAAACTAATAGGCAGCAATACTTACTTACCTATTAAACTAACGACTCTGAAATTCTTTGGTTGTCAGTTACCAAAATAGTTTTGAAGCTTGGGAACTGCTTACCCACTCAGCTCTGATGGGTGTTCTGATGCCCCATGATGCTCACCAGCCGAGAAGCATTCTTTAATGCATTATTGTCTTACCTTGTGGTAATCAATTAAGAGCAGATTAAATCCTCTCTTAAAATAAAAAATAATAATTAAAAAAAAGATCACTCCTGAATGACTTCAGACTGCAGGTATGCAAGACATAGACTCTTTTTTTCTTTTATATCCTGAATGCCTCTTTTGCAGGCTGTCACCTCTGTAACACACTAAAATGAGGCCCAATTTATTGACAGAATACATGAGAGTGTCAGACGGCTAATACTTCTAAAGTCAGTTAATAGTAATACTTAAAAGTTTTTCATTACAATACATACTGTATAGAAACCTTTATGCTATATGCAGAAGCTTGCAAAAAAGCATCTAAAGATATGTGATCAAAACCATAGACAGAACATTCCAAAGCGCATACATTTTGTTCCAAATGCAGTCATGACAACTACAACAGAAGCAGTAAAAAGCAATACAAAAACTCCTTGGTCTCTCCCAAATGATTTCAACCCTGTTCCTTGGGAGAACAGGTAATAAAAGTATGTTACAGGTTGTGCTTCTTTTCCAGCAGATGTCACCGGGAACCAGATGCTACCAGCAGCTTCAGACGTTTGCATTATCATTGCTGATTTTTTTAAATGCGACTGGACTCGCTTGTTTCAAAGAAGTCTTAGAAACATCTGTGTGAATGGTGGACATGGCAACTGTCTCATAGTCATCATCCCGAGACCGGAAATCACAAAAGTTAAAGAAGAACTGCAAGTCCCTCTGGAAGTTTTTGTTCAGGAATCCATAAAAGATGGGATTGACACACGTGGAAATCATTGCTGTGAGATGGCAGAGCAGGAATAAGAGGTTATGGTTGCACGTCGCAATGATCTGGTGATTCCAGTCAAACACGGTGTTAAAGACGGTGAGGGGCAGCCAGCAGACTGCAAAGGCCACCACAATGGACAGCAACATGATGTTGATTCTTTTGGTCTCACTGGACCTGTACTTATTATCTCTCATCTTGTCCATCATATTGTTTCTCCTTTTTAAGCGCATATATATCTATAGAGGGGAAAAGAAAATGAGTTCAAACAGAATCACCCATTTAAAGAGGAATGCTGTGGAGAGAAGGTAAAAACGGAAATGGTAGGAGAAAAACGCTTTCTTACCTTGAAGTAGCAAATAAATATAAAACAGAGGGGGCCAAAATACTGGAGCGCCAACAGCAGGGTGGTGTACGACAGCCGGTGAGAGTCAGAGGGAAATTTATCGAAGCACACGTACTTGTCCTTGAACGCGGCGAGTGTTACGTTCTGGAACGGTTCATCAGTGAGGACTTGGTAGATCAGGAAGGGCAGAGAAGAAGCCATAGCAATGACCCAGATGACAGCAATACCTAAATAAGCGTGTCTATTATTTGGCCGCCACCCTCGGGGGTGGATTATCAGCTGGTGTCGTTCCACAGCAATGAGAACCAGGGAGAAAATGGACACAGTGATGGAAACACACTGCACAAACGGATTCAACTTGCACATTGCCTCACCAAAGACCCAGTGGTCCATCAACGTGTAGACAAACGTGAAGGGGAGACACATGATGGCCACAAGCAAGTCTGAGAAGGAGAGGTTCACAATCAGGATGTTGGTGACGTTTCTCATCTCCTTCTGTTTCAAGATGATTACGATCAAAGCCAGGTTGCCAGAGACCCCGAGGATTATCACAGCCCCGTACGCAAGAGCTAATGTAAATATCATGGCCAAGGGCAGATGGCAGTCATCGTTTTCAAAGGCTAAAAGCTGGGAATTCTTCTCTGAAAAATTATAATGCACTGAATGATTTGCTACCTGGGAAAACACTGTCGAGTTCATTTTGATTGGTTTGGTTGTTACAGATTACTTTAGACAAACGAACAATACGTTTCTTCAAAGCGGGTCAAATATTCATCTTATTCTCCGTATCAGAATCCGTTTACCAAAATGATTCTGAACTCTGCATCCTCTTGAACTGAACATCTGTAAAGAGAAAATGACCCATTGCATTACTAATTTTCTTGAAGGCAGTCCAAATGAATTCTGACTCACCGTATTCTTTAAAGGGAAAACGCTGAAATAAATAAAATGCAATCCGGACAAACATCTTTTTATAAATAGCGGAAACACTGCAAACGTGAGAAAAAGAGAAATTTCATACTGTTTTTAATTGGACTCGTTTACACATTGAGTTTCAGCAAAACCGAGCGTCTGTAAGTTAGTAAGGCCCCAAAATCAAATGCAGGTAGCCTTGTACAAACAGCAGTATCAGTACATTCCCAAACACTGTAAGAACATAAATGTATAATACACAATTGAATGTACAGATTAAAATACAAGAAAATATATGAAATGTAGCCAGAAACAAACAAGGCAGAACAAAACAAATCACCTAATTCTTGCTCTGACTACAGAAATGGAAGAAGTAGTTTAGAGGTCAAGGGTGTTAACAGCTATACAATGGACAGCTCTTTAAGGCAGACTTGGTTAGCACAAGTATATTCAAAGGGAAATGATCAATGTAGTGAAATATCAGAAAACTCTGTCATATGGTGGGCTGTAGAAGGACTAGGTGTTTAATCCGAACAAGACTTAGCAGAAATGGTAGAGTTGTTTTCTTATATTTGAATGGGCGGCACGTGGAATAGGGAACAGGGATCATACTATTCTGTGTCACTACGCAATGTAGAGGTAGGACCAAGAAATGAACATTATTATTATTTTTTGATTTTATTGTTGTACTTTAAGTGAAAGTTTAAAGTTCAAGTCAGTTTCTCATACAAAAATTTATACATACATTGTTATGTGAGCCTAGTTGCTCTCCCTATATTGTGACAGCACACTCCTCCTTTCCACCCCGGATTTCCCGTGTCCATTCAACCAGCTCCTGACCCTCTCTGCCTTCTCATCTCACCTCTGGACAGTAGCTGCCCATTTAGACTCATGTATCTACTTGAGCTAAGAAGCACACTCTTCATGAGTATCATTTTATGTCCCACCGTCCAGTCTAATCTTTGTCTGAAGAGCTGGCCTCAGGAATGGTTTTAGTTTTGGAGAAATGAACATTATCAAAAACACACATTTCATGTGACTATAAGTAAAAAGGGTTAATCAAGTAGAACAAACTGCCTATAAAACTAGCAAACGCTCCACATCAAGTTGATAAGCGCTACATGGCAGACCACTTCAGGGGATTCTTGCACTCTGTGGGACACGCACTCGCAGGACTCTGAAACGCTTTCAAAGGATTTCTAAGATTTATTCCTATGAGCAAACCCATTTCCACCAGACTGTCTGCAGAGCCAATGCAGGGATCTAAATTTCATACTATGAATACTCTAACAAGTCAAATCACAGACATCAGTCTTGTACAGATTAAAAAATATTCTTTTTAAATCTCTGATTTTCTCTAGATTCCTAAGTAAATGTAAGAGGTGGGATTTCTTATGTTAACTAACCATTGTGCTTTTGTTAAGAACCTGAATTTCATGCCTGTTTTTCTTAAGTGAGAACAGTAAAGCAAACCATGCAGATTTACTTCCACTGAAAGGGAGCTAAAGAAATTCAATGAACACGAAGCGCATCTGCCTTTTAAGGGACACCTCTAATGAGTCCTTCCTTGACTGTTTTTGCTTTCTGGAATAGAGGGTACTTTTTAGTATGAAACCACAATCTAACCTTATAAAACTGAAGAAAAGACAATAAAGATTGCTCTCATTAAGTCAGAATGAAAGTATTAAGAGTAGGAATGCTAACGGAATGATTTCCGGGGTGCTTGTTACTAGAAATATGGCTGTCCCCTTCTCCATGCAACAACCTACGACTCCCTAATACTTCGGTGGTACTCACGGTTCTTCTGTTAACACTACAGGCAGAGAGGATGATCTTGTGTCTCCCAGGGTTTGGGAACAAACCTGGAAGAAGCAGGTAATAACGTAAAAGTTCTCTGGAAGTCAGTGGTGTCACCAGGGGTGTGGGGGGTGTGGACTATACGAGGGACACTGTCAGAGGGGGTGACACCAAAATGACTGTCTATAAAATTTTCGTGCATTGTTTCAGTAGAAACTTATTATTTTTTATTAAAAAAATTCCTGTAGTTAATTATAATAATAAAAACATTTTCCGTAAGCCCTATTTACATATATCAATATACCTACAAGGCTAAAAACTCTGTGGTATATGGGGAAGGTTTGGAGCCCGGGGGCCACGAGCGGTTTGCAATCGGCTGCTTACCTAAAGGCTGGTGATTTGGACGCCCAGCAGCTCTGAGATGAAAGGCCTGGTGATCTGCCTCCGTAACGATTACAGCCAAGAAAACCGTATGGAGCAGTCCTACTCTGTAGCACATGGGGTCCTTACACGTTGGGGGCCAACTTAATAGCAGCTACCAACAACAATGACATATACGGAAGAGGTCCCTGGGTGATGGAAATGGTTTGCACGTGACTACTAACCTAAAAAGGAGCCCTGGTGGCACGATGACTAAGCACTACTGACTGAAATGTGGGCAGTTCAACCCCCCCAGAGGCTCGGCGGGAGAAAAGACCTGGCAATCTGCTCCCATGAAGAGTACAGCCTAGGAAACCCTACGGGGCAGTTCTATTCTATTCTATAGGGTCACTGTGCGTCAGAATCAAATCAAGAGCACAAAACAACAAGAACAGCTAACCTAAAGGTCGGCGGTTCGAACCCACTCAGCAGCGTTGCAGAAGAAAGGCCTGGGGATCTGCCTGCATAAGTATCAGAGCCAAGAAAACACTACTGGGCACAGTTCTACTCTATAACACATAGGGTCTCCATGCGTTGGAGTCAACTCTTTAACACAACAGAAAAACAATAAGGAAAAATGCTTCACTTTGTTAAAAATTTAAAAAAGACTTGTTTCTGAAATACACTGATCCAACATTTGCTGAACACTCACTGGTGTCAAGCATTATTTCAGTGGAGACAACCGTGACTACTTTCATTGAGTTTCTAGTCTAGTGGGAAGAGAAAGACTATGAAAACCACATCAGCAAAAGATGAAGCGCGCTAGATGGCGGGAAATGCTGTGGAAGCAAGTACAGCGGGACCGGGACTCAGTGTTGGGGCTGCGATGTGTTAGTAGGTGGTTAAGTCAGCCTCTGACTTAGGACAAGTCAGAGAGTACTGAGCGACAGAGCCACTGCCATCTCAGGGAGAGCACTCCAGGTGTGTGAAGTCCCTGAAGCTGGAGTGTACTCGGTGTGCTAAACAGCAATGAGAAGAGGAATAAATACGGGGGAGATGAGAAGAAATGAATTTAGGAGGGTAAAGAGAGGGGACACAGACTGTATAGGACCTTATTCCATGACACAGTCCTTAACTGTGACTCTGACAGAAAGGGGGAGCCACTGGAGAGTCTTTGGCAAAGGTCTGAGAAGATATGAGTTTTGTTTTAAAATGATTATCACTCTCAAAATAACCCAGGAGAGAGAGAACAGGGGTGCAGTTCAAGACACTTACAGTGGAAAGGAAGAAAAATAGAAAACTGGGTATTCTAAACTTTATATCCACTGACTGGCTTTGACAAAAAGCAATACGTATGATAATTAATGCAAGCACATTTGACTATTACAATGTGTGGGCTACAAAGACAGGTTTCTTGTGGTGAGTTTCAGTTAATATACGGAAACTCTACTCTGATGCCTTTGAAATTACGTTGACAGCCAGGCCCTGTGAGCAATGGCAGTTTTCCTGCTAAGGGGAAGTTAACTTAGTTATAAAAAAAAAACCAAACCCGTTGCCATCGAGTCGATTCCAGTTCATATTAACCCTATAGGACAGAGTAGAACTGCCCCATACAGTTTACAAGGAGCAGCTGGTGGATTCGAACTGTCAACCTTTTCGTTAGCAGCTGTTAATTCTTAACTACTATGCCACCAGGGTGTCCAGCTAAGTTATAGAGAAAACAAAAACTTTATTTTTTAAAATAAAACGCTTGCAAGCCTCCGTTGTTAAGTGAACATGCAGTAATCATTCTAGTTCAGCAAAATGGTTCTGCATTTGATAAAATATGTATTGTCACTTCATCTCAGTATAATTTCAAGAAAGAATAATTGTCATAAAAAAACTAATACTAAGAGGAAAATAATTTACATGGTTTATCTTTCCCAAAACAATTTTTTTTTTTTATATTTACTATCACCAATACAGATTTCTAAAACAAGCTGTGCAACTATATACCCTGGAAAATTAAAAGCTGTTAAACCTCAGTACAGCAGCTATCATGTGCGTTTAGAGACAAAAACAGAGACGCGACATACATCACCAGCTGGCAAATCAGCCCCTCTCCGCAGGGAAATGTCCTTCTCCTTTCCAGCTGGAACGATGGCCTTTGATGGCCTTTCACCTCTTGCTGTTCGCAGGGCCGTTACTACCTGAAAATCCGGCCCTCTGTCATGACCTGCTACAGATCATTTTTTTCAAAGACTCAGGACTGGTTTTTCCCCTCACTTGGTTTGGAAAGGAAAGGACAGCATAGTTACAGAGCAGCCTCCCAAAGTTACAGCTAGCTTATCTGAACGAGTTACATAATTCCTAGTTCCTTTCCCGCGGGGGTGGGCTTGTTCTACAGACAGCTGTTTCAAACACTAAGGAAAGACTATCGATAAAGTAGTATCCACCGAAAAACACTCCGGCTTCAGCCGCGGATGGGAAACGGGACCTGACCGCTTTTGGCTCTCTCTTGCCCTAGCAGGGGGCCAGCCTAGAATCTTGGGACTGCCGGCTGTTTTCTCGGTTCTAGTCGGCGCAGAGGCGGGCTGGCTCGGGACGTCCCTCTGCCTGGGTGTGTCACCGCTAGAGTTACGTTGTCTCATAGGATCCAGGTGGGCACGGCAAAGCGCTGAGCGCTCTAAAGAAAAGCGCAACGTCTAAACACACATTCTTCCCACCTCTAGGGTTCTCTGTGCTCAGTAGTTACTGAAAGAACGAAATGAAACGGTGTTCAATCAAAATTCCTGTCCGCAGGCTTACGCGACCGCTTTCTCATATTGTGTATAACTCGGTGGATGGCCCAAAGTTTCCCCCATTACCGACCTTCCTCGTCCCCCAAACACAAAATTCACCCCTCCATCCATCCGTCAGGGAAAGAGCGATGATGTGATGATGGGAGACTGACAAAACGGGAAACATCCAAACCAACCAAAACCAAAACAAGCCAGGGCCAAACCCAAAGTGACTTCTCTCTCCCCCTTGTCCAGCGTCAGTCCTTAAAACCACTGCCTCTCTCTAGTCCACCTGGGGACCAACGGGACACCCTGCTAAGCCACCTCCACCTCGTCCATCCC